TTTTATTATATTATATTATATTTTTTATATTATATTANATTTTTTATATTATATTATATTANATTTTTTATATTANATTTTTATATTATATTATATTATATTATATTATATTATATTTTTATATTATATTATATTATATTATATAATATTATATTATATAATATTATATTATATTATATTATATTTTTATATTTTTTTATATTATATTTTTTTATATTATATTATATTTTATATTATATTATATTATATTTTTTTTTATATTATATTTTTTTTAAAAGTTTTGAACACTTTTTGGACCTGCCGGTTGAACCGGCTAGTTTACCAGTTACTCGGACCCATAGATAGTAAATCGCTGTTAATCAACGATCTTTTAAAAAATCAGCGTTTTTATAGAAACAGTTTTAAACGGCGACCTTTTGAAAAGGTCGTGAAAAAATGGTGTACTTTTCATAAAAACGTTTAAAATGCGATTTTTCATAATTCGATTTAAATCGGGCCAAAAAATCGTATCCTTTTTACCTATATTTTTTTTTCCCCTATTTTGTGTATTGCAGCCATTGCTACTTTCATGCTTTTAGAAATTTGTATCCCCAGAGTGCTCTTCAAAGCCACAGTTGCACATTGAAAGTACGAATTTTTTCCCTTTTTCAAAATATTTAAACAAAGTTGTTATTATAGAAAATCATTGTGTAAATGAAATAATACTGTTTATAGCAAATCATTTCGTAAAGTAAATCATTGTGTAAAGAAAATCATATGCATGCAGATTTTTGTTATTATTTGTGATAATTGTTTTTATGAAAATAATGTTTATAGCACAAATTAGAGCTCAAAACATAGTCTTTTACTGATGAATGAGAAGCAGAGTGTAGGTACAGGTGTTTGATTATGTGATAACAAAGATAAACAATATAGTATAAACTGTAAAATTACAGGAGCAAGCAATTCCCCAAACTCGCTGTTTCCCCAACAAAATGAAAAACCCTCTTCGTTTTCTCTCTGTAAGAATCAGGGCCTCTTTACAAATTAAAAAATCAGGGCCTCTTTACAAATTAAAAAATCAAGGCCTCTTCACAAATCAGTATAACTAGGGCTTTCTCTCAAACAAGAACTTAGTATAATTAGGGCTTTCTCTCAAACAACAACAACAATTCAAATCAGAGAGAAAAATCCTCTTCAAACTATCCCAAATCAGCATCCCATCTTCCTTTCCTTTTCTCTTTTTAAAATCAGTTAGGGCCTCTTCCATTTTTTTCATCCGACTTTTTAAAATAAAAACAATTTATTTTCGATTTTATGGTGAGCTGATTTGTTGATAGTCCCTGACTTGCTAACTATGCTCAGACCTGGCCATTGGCTAGTTTTCAAGGCCGGTTTGATTTTTCGAACATTATATACAACTACAATAAATCACAAAAAAATACGACATAATTAAAAAAGGAAAAAAAAATTATATAGAGCTGAGGCTCTAAACAATCAAATTAGAGCGTACCCCAAATACCCTCGAATTGATCATCTTGACATCAATATGCATAGACACGAGAAAAAATAGATTTCAAATTTTTGAAATAGTGTATCTTGTAATGTATTTTTGAACGGTCAGTTATCAAAATTTTCAAGTTTTTATAGATATGCTTGATCTAAACTATTTTTGAAGCTTTAAATTTTATAATTAGATTTGAAAATATTTTTTAAGGCTATCACAAAGATTTTTAGTATTGAAAACCATATTTCTCGACATTATTTGAAGGTGCGCATTGATTGTTTAGAGCCTCGGCACTATACAAATCACACCCTTAAAAAAATGGTGATAAACAAAAAGGAATATTAAAAAACAAAAAAATTGAACTTTTTTTTTTAAAGAAAAGGCTTTTCCTTCACATCAGGAAAAATAGGATCATGATGAGCTAATTCAAATTCACCTGGTAAAATGAGAACAACTCCTCCATTCAAACTTCCGTTTTTTTTTAACAAGCTTGTTTGAGTTGCATGGCATAGGCGCTACCCACCATTTACCGTGGGCTGCCAATTTGGGGTTACATTTGAAGAAAAATCCAGCCCAAAACTAGATAAGTTCATATCCAACCAAGGAGAACAAAAAAAAAATGGTTTTTACTTAAATACATTCAAAAAATTCTATAGAAAATTTTGTAATCTAGTAAGATATCATTTCGAATCATGCCATACGTTGCATATTATGAAATTATAGTAACCTGTAGTATTTTCTTCCCTATTATGTATACTCATATTAGAAAGGATACTTTAGGAAGGATACTTAATCCTAGATATTAAAGGTCTTGTACACAATATTAAATAGGGAAAATTTATTATAAAAACCTAATTTTTTGTAGTATTTCATGGTAGATCATCTTTTCGTTTTTCTTTCACGCCGCATAAAGAAGTCCTTAAGGATTTCCCCGTAACCCCTCATCGCTTATCTCTCTTTTTTATTGACTTTTGATCATAAAAATTAGCCCCAACAAATCTTTTTATACTATTTCATCTAAAAAAATTTTTTAACTCTCTTTTTACCTTTCCACTTATTAAAAAAGCTTTTGGGTTGAAATGGTATAAAATAATTTGTGGGGGTTAATTTTTATGATCAAAAGTCAATAAAAGAGGAAGATAAGAGATAAAAGGTATGGTGAAATATTTAGGGGGCCTTTTGGATACCTGAAAATATATTGTTTGTGAAATATATTACTGGCGTAATACATTAGTGCGTAATACATTACCTGCAAATGGATTGTTACTATTTAGGCAGTATTTAGATGCAACCTGGGAAATACATTGCTACTGTTTGGCTATGTCTTGAAGGAATATGGAAAATACATTACCAACATTTTACCAGCACTTGCCTATAAACTATTATTTATTTCTTTTTTTTTTGTCACACAATTTTACTGAAATGCGGAATTAAAGTCATCATCACATCATTCAAAAAAGATTTGATAATAATAACATTATCACTATTCAAAAAAGATTTTCTAATAATAACTTGTACCATTCTAAAGTTACCATCACACAATTTCTTACTTATTTTGCATGCCTTTAGCACAAACATAGAATCACATGTCCTCTAACATGATTAGACTTTGGTTTCAACATGATAAGTCATTGGAATAATATGATCGGAATAATATGTTTTTATTGTTATAAGTCTTATTTTTATTTATTTTTTTATAGAAGTCATTCAAATGTCTATCTATATAATTTCAAATAAACAACAAATTTATGATAACAATTAAAAATCTTTATAGTACAAGTTAAAAAAAAGAAAGAAAATTGATTAGTAAACTAAAAAGTTTGGTAATTGAAGTAGAAAATTTTGAGGTATTGGAGGAAACTAAGGAGGTATCTTATTTCAATTGAGCTTTTGCTAATCTCTTATGAGGATTTTGCTGGGTGAAATTTTTTATTATATGTTGGGTGAAATTTTGTATTATAATTGTGTTGTGTAATTTCTTATGTTGGGTGAAATTTTTTATTATAATTCTGCTATGTAATTTCTCATTGATTAGCGTTCTATACGAAATTTTCCCTATCAAATACATAGAACTACAAAAATACATATTTCTCACATGGTATCAGGACGAGATTTTAATTTTGGTAGAAAACTGGGTTTCAACGTAAGAGTAAAATTTGGTAAAGGCATCAAAATATTCAATGCTACTATTCATAAAAACACCCATGTATACCGTATGTGATCATCAATAAAAGTAGCAAAATATCTTGAACCCCCTTTTGAAGAGATAGAAGCAGACCCTCATACATCAGTATGCATATGAACAAATTTAGAAGTGAAAATTGTACTACTATAATTAAATGGAAAAGCATGTAACTTAGCAAGCTTACACGGTTCACAATGTTTGACATCAACCGACACTGTATTAGTGGTGGACCAAGAACACCACGAGACAATAAATATTGTAACCTAGAAGCAGAAACATGACTATGATGTTGATTCCAT